TATCGACCGAAAACTCGCTACAAGGGTCAATAAGAAAGTTTAAGGGAGTGAGGTAAAACATGAGATTTGACTTAAAAAAAAAAAAAAAAAAAAAAAAAAGAGAGTAGATAAACATGATAAAATAACAAATCCAATTAAACTAACTTAAAATAGAAAGAAGCAAAAGGGACCCCTAACCAATGAAATTTATCCCAAAAGCTTGACAACGCCATCCGACAAAAATGTATAGAATTGAACAATGCTTCCGCATTGTACCGAGGCACGAAAATTGTCGTTGAGCAAAGAGTTATGCAAGTTTTTATCCATCCTTATTCCACTTTAGCTCATCAATAGCACTAAGGTTGGCTCTTCCTTCACACTCGCCTTGAAACTTTATATCTTATTTTGTTGTTGTTGATCTCTCTTCCCACATAGCTTAGACAATTCATTGCATGGCTTTCGCGATCTTCTTTGCTTTTGATATAATTATTTATATATTTGGAGCTTGTAAAAGATCATTTCTAATTTGTTCTCCATAATTCTTATCATTCCTTCCCTCTTCGAAATAATTTGACTTCAAATCTGATCCTCATGCTTTTAGTCGTTGACCATGATTATTATGGCCTTCCCCGGTAATAAACTTGTCACTTTAACATTTTTCGTCTCTATGCTTTCTTTGTTAAGTTCTCTAAGGAACTAACTAAACTTAATCAATCTTTCCAATTTCCAAACCAACAATAACTCAGAGAGAGAAAGAAAAGTTGTTTTGGTGCAAATATATTTGATATTTGAGTTTGATAACTAGCGGGTTTGAATTACTTAGTATAAACTCGAATGTGGAAGCAGTCATTAGTGGAGAATCATCACATTTCTAGATATTGAGATTGCCGATTAAACCCAACCAAACTAAAGCAGAAAAAGAAAAGAGTGATTAAGAGCAACATTTAGATTTACTCCCCGGAGAAGGAAAATGAATAGCTATTTGATAAGTGTGAATCTCACGAGCGGGAAAGGAAATAATTGACTAAAAAGGATCAGGTTGGAGCCAATTTGAAGATTTTTTTTGTCTTGACAATTTTTTCATAATTTAGATGACGATTGAAGGTGACTATGCACACACACACACACACCCCGATCAAACATTGGATAAGCTTAAATCATATTTGTTAGCATTATTTGGAGCATATTTGTGAATTGATTATACAATTCTACACTTATCGATATTTTTGGTAAACTATATAATGTGTTAATCTCTTTCTTATTTTACATGATTGTGTTACAAGCAAGATCTTAAGTTTGGGAGTATTTGATAAGCGTGTGTTTTAGCTTAAATCCATGAAAGGAGGCAAAACTGTTCCATTCCAACAACCAAAAAGAATCATTCCTAATGTAGTATCATTTATTCTTTCAAGAAGGAGATCATTTATTGTTGGTCTTTTCTCACAACTTAAGGCTGTCGAAAAATCAAAATCTTTGTAGAAGTTACTTGGGTTGCCAAATATGCACTCATTCGTATTGTAATGTTAGGATGAACACCTCTCATGAATTGATGAATTCATGTTCCATCCAATCCCACCTCAACTTCCAATTGTCAAGACAAGTAAAAGGGTTGTGATTTGAGATCGTGACTTGTGCCAAATAATTTGATTCATATGATCTGATCACATCATCCATAATCGCGAGATCACCATTTTGGAGATGCATATTTTTTTCATCCTCCGTGATGTTTGTTCTCAAGTTTGAGTCTGGCATACAACAAATTCGTGTCTTGTTTCCTGTAAGAACCAAATAATCTTGAATTGTCTCCTCTAAAAACTTAAATAACACTAAGAAACATATTTTTTTGTTTGTGTCAAGTTCTAAGGTTCATTATTATTTTCATATTGTCAAGTTGAATAGAATTATGGTAGAGCAAAAGTAATGATTTCAAGTTAAATTCATCATAGAATAACACAAATGAAAATAAATGGTTGGTTCAACACAATACTAGAGCATACAAAAGTAGTTAATTCAAGTCTTGTCATCATCGATTTATTAAATTCTATACTTGCGAGGTATTTGCTTAATTCTTTAAACTTTTAGATAAGAAGGTGGGTGAACAAAAACGTGCGGGCAAAAGAGAAGAACAAGAAAAAGGAATAACCAAAAAGTTAATAGTAGTAAATTTAATACCTAGCGTTGTAGGATTTGGACATAAATATCCATCGTTAGCACGAGTGATATTAGGGGGCAAAGGAACATTCGGAGCCTCAACTCCGAATTGTGTACCCACTAACTCGACACGGGCTTGCACCTGATTAAAGTCTTCGACGGTCTCCATTGTCGTCTTCGGTTAGTCACCAAATATCCAGCTAAAACAATCTCGTTGTTGACGTCATTTCGAAGGGAGGAGCCGTCAATAAGCACGCCATTCGAAGCAGAGACCAACAACTAACTATTATTGAAATCCACAAAGACCCGCCAATTCTTGAGCTCAACTAAGCCATTGTTGGTTATTGTTAGGGTAGATTCAAATCGATAAGGCTAGCGTGTCCTCTCCTTCGACGAGAGGGTCGACAGAAATTCGTGGCTAGAGTTATAGCAATAAGATATTGATATGCAATTACATGAAGAAGGATTTGAAGGCTGAGAAAAAAAGATTATTGGAAGTAATAAAACGAAGATTATTAGTATTATTATGGAAGTAAAAACTGCAGAAAAATAGCCATTTTGTGTTTGAATTATGAAGGAGCTGGAAATTACATACAAATAATAAATTTAAGAAGAAAAAGAAGAGAAGACCAAGACTAGGTATTGTTGACCCCAAAAAGTGTTGCCAACAAATGCCGGACCCACCCGCGCACACGTGAGCGAAGGTCCTACACGCTAAGACATGTGGACGATCTAGAACAAAAGAATCAGGGGCGTGGGAGTAGCTCAACGACGCGGGATGAGAACGTTCAGAATCCGACGGGATGTTCGTAATCCGATTGTACAATAATTTCCAATCGGTGCTCATGAATGTGAATGTAAATATGTATGAACTCGTATTGTGTTGTAAGATAATATGAAAGAGAAAGTAAAGTGTGATTTCTTGTATTGATTCTTGCATTACCCCTTCAATGTTATACAAGGAAAGTATTTATAGTGTTACATGTGAAATTACAGCCCTTAGATGAGGTGACACGTTGCCTCATCTCTTTAACTCAAACATCCAATCCTAGGCATTATCCTTGACTTGCTAGCTTGCTGCGCATTTATTGCTTATGCAGAACCTCGATGCTAATGACAAGACTTGACATGTATACTTATGACAAATGTTCCATCAATCATTCTAACAATCTTTATGTAGAAGATCTCTTGGGAGAAGTGATCATAGAAGACGTTACTTCATGGTTCGGAGGCTTCTGCTTCGGGGCTTCTGCCACTCACGTAGTACTTCTGCATATGGGCCTCGGCATGAAGGGCCTTGGATATACAAACCACCTCGGCTAGAGTATCACGTGGTTCAGATTGAGTGGGCCATAGGCCCACGTAGGTTGGCCAAGTATGACAACATGTAACAATAGTCCCCCAAGTCAAAGTATAGTAATTTATGTAATGCGTAGACTTCAATGAAATAAAGCCAGTGGGTTGGGTAAAAATTGAAAGAATTTTTGAACCATAAATAATAGTCCCCCCAAGTCCAAGTATAGATATTTATATCATGGTTGGAGTTTGAAATGTGTTGTTACGGGTGAATGATGAAGGAGCTGAGGTGGTGGCACGAACTGAATGTGCGAGGCTCACGAGACCTGGTAGATGGAGATGAGCCGAGGTGGTTGGGAAATCGAACCTACGATGCTCGATGGCGGAATGTTCAAGATGAAGCCGAGGTGGTTGGGAAACCGAACCTGAGAGGCTTGATGGCTGAATGTTGAAGATGAAGTCGAGGTGGTTGGGAAACCGAACCTACGAGGCTTGATGGCTGAATGTTGAAGATGAAGCCGAGGTGGTTGGAAAATCGAACCTGCGAAGCTTGATGGCTGAATGTTGAAGATGAAGTCGAGGTGGTTGGAAATCCGAACCTGCGAGGCTTGATGGCTGAATGTTGAAGATGAGGCCGAGGTTCATTGATAATAATTGTTCCTTGGCAGTTCTCCCAATGATTTGATATTTTGCGCATATTTTCGAGGAAAGGTGGCTGAACCGTTGCAACTTCTAAGGCGCTTGCTGCCGCCGAATTATAATCATAATTATTAGAACAGTTGGAGCTTCTAGAAGCAGACGCGTTGGCTGAGGTGCGTGGGAGACACGCTTAAATCTGAGGCGTAGGTTTGAAAAACCGTTTGAATTCTATGCCTCGGATTTGATTTAAAATGAAGGGTTCAAATTGAATGAGCTTCGATCTGACGGTGGCGGTTCGTCCTGACCCTTTATTACAGGCGAGAGAACTCCATTTTTTCGGATTTTCCAGCACTTGAAATCTGATTTCTTCTCTTAGAACTTAAACATTCCGGCGTTGAGACAAGTCCATTTACTGCTTTTTCGGCACTGTTTGTGTAGTTTTTCAGTAGGTACTTTTCACAGAAAATCCTCCTTTTACTGCATTCTTAGTTATTTTCTGAGATGGAGTCAACTTTGGGTAGGGAGTTGGTTACTGTCGCATCGTTTAGTCGAGGGTCTAGTTATAGGGGGACTTCGAGGTTGAGCAGATTGCTATGACCGAGGAGGAAGTAGATTACAATGTAGAATGGGGAGCGTCTAGAGTCCCTTCGAATATGACATCGAAGAGGTTGGGGGAGATAAGGGAGAGGTACTGTGTACCTCATTATGTGGAGATGTTAGTGCCCGAGGCCCATGAGCGAGCCTGTTATCCGAGTCCTGGGTGCGTGGCAGTGAGCGAATACTTGTTTAAGGCAGGTATGCATCTTCCTCTGTACCCCTTCTTCAGGGATGTGCTGAGAAATTTCATGTTGTCGTCAATCTAGGTCCTGCCAAATGGGTAGAGCCAGTTGGTCGGCTCGTACTTCTTGTAGAAGGAAGTGTCGCTTAGGGAGGACATGTCTCTTCACGTCTTCATGACCCTATTCCAGCCTACGGTAATAGGTAAGGAGTCAAAGGGGTGGTATTACTTGACTCCCTGGGAGGGCCTATGCACCTTTTGTGGTGGGGCCGCCTTCTTCCATAAAGGGGTGGAAGGAGTCGTGGTTCTGGGTGAGGGGCAGGTGGCAAGCGGTGGAGGGAGACAAAGCTCTGTCTTGCACAGTACCGACCCAGTACTACGAAGCTCATGAGTCTCCTAACCTAAGTAGTTTGCATTCCATTTTCAACTTTAATTTTTTCTCTAACTATTGAGGCCTCATTTGTAGATAGCAGTGTGAGGTTCGAGCTTAGCAGGGAGGAGTTTGAAGTGATAGAGGACATTTACAAGAGACCTCTGAAGCTCCGCCACTTCGATCACCTCATTGATAGAAGTCGCTATTTCCTCGACTTTGAACTGATGGCATCTAAGGGTATGGAGCTCGTACACTTGTATATTTTTGTGTTTTTGTTTTGGTACTGACGCGCTGTGTTCTACAGATAAGTTTAAGATGAATGAGTACCCAGCTCCTGACATGGCGTCCATACTGAGGACAACTTCCCACTATGAAGGCGAGGCCCCTGAAGCCGGGGTCAAGTGGTGCGAAGGAGGTCCGAGGTAGAGTTGAACGTCTCTCCAAGGACAGCACCCGCGGGCTTCCAAAGAGGAGACCCCCCAAAGGCCAGAAAAGGCCAAGGAGCCTCAGGGGAAGGAGAAAGTCGTTGAAGACCCGAAGAAGAAGAAGCTGGTGCACATCTCTAGCTCGTCTGGCAAATTTAGGAGTTCTATGTCCCAAGGCAAAGAAGTCGGACCGTCGAAGCTACTGGAAGCCACCTCGAAAGTAGTTAAGATTGAAATGGTTAGGCGTGCAGAGGCTGATGAGGCAAGAGAGGAGGCTGCAAGGAGGCAAGCTGAGGTGGCTGGGGAGGAGGCTGCTAAAGAGAAACCTGTTCGAGTACAAGGCAAGTCTCCGAGCTTCCTTGCCAACAGGGAGGAGCCTCTGGCCCAGCTTTGGTGGAGGCCCTGCCACCTGAAATTCGAAGCACTGCTAAAAGTTTTTATAAATTCTGGACGAATCGATGGTAGTTGTACGCCTCCTCATGTGATGCCACGGACCTGACAAGGGCTCTTGTAAGCCAAAGTGTTAGGACTTTTGGCCTTGCATTGGAATGCAGGGAGGCCCTCATTGACTTCCAGACGAGGACCACCACCTCAGGGAGGAAGATAGCCTCCCTTGCAGAGGAGCTGAAGGCGGCTAGGGCTGAGGTTGAGGTATCTAGGGCTGAAAAACTTGAAGAATCGGCCAAGTTGGAGTCTGCCTTGGCCCAAATAGAGGCATTGAAGAGAGAGGTACATGAGTCCCAGTGTGAGGTTGCCTCCTTGACTAAGAAGGTGGAGGTTTCCAATGATCACCAGAAGGTGATAGCCGAAGCTTAGAGAAGGCTAACAGGGAGCTGGCAGGGGCCCAGGATACATACAAGTTCATTGAGGGCCAAATTAAGTGGTATGTCGATGATGCAACCCATGCTAGGGAGGAAGCCCAAAGTGCAAGGGAGGAGGCAGTGAGAGACTACATTGCCAACTTCCACAATACCGAGGAGTACAAGAGCTTTAGCACTTACTGGAGGAACTTTGCTTATGCCGAAGTGATGGAGCGGGCTGAGGAGTTGTATCCTAATTAGGATCTGTCGCAACTCAGGTCAGAGTTTGTGGACGAAGTGCCTCAAACCCCAGCTGATGAAGTGGTGGAAGATGAAGTAGTAGAAGCAGAAGAAGCAAATTCTGATGCTCAAGCTGCGAAAGTTCCAGCTGCTGAGGTACCTCCACCATCTTCCCAGGCTTATGATAGTTTTCTTTTCAGTTATGCATGATGTACTGGCCGCAAGCCCTTCTTTTGTAATCTCAATTGAAAATCAATATAATATCGTCTTTTTTATTCAATGTTGTTTCTTTCTCTCAAGTGTGTTGGCCTCGTTAAATAATTGAACATAATGTTGATTGAAGAACCAAATAACTTTAACTGGGTATCCTAACTCTAATCACTTGAACGAATAAATTGTATTCAAGCCTCACGAGTTATGACCAATATGGGACTTAAGCAAATGAATTGTACTTGAGCTTAATAATTGTAATATGAAGGGATCCTAAGGATGGACCGTGTTGCAGTTGAACTGGGAGTTTTTACTCTGGTATAAGTGCATACACCTCGGAGTGCAAACGAGGTGGCCCAGAGATGGGAACCCGACCTCTCCTTCGAGGTGACGTCGTTTCCTAACATGGTGGATGGTGCAGTCATGTTGAGGCTTCTCCCCTTGATGTTCAGCCTCGCCAAAGGGAGGCATGTGCATGCATCTCGAAGTTCAAGCGAGGTGGCCCAAAGATGGGACGCTGGCCTCTCCTCCAAGGTGACGACGCTTCCTAACATGGTGGATGGTGCAACCATGTTGAGGCTTCTCTCCTTGGCGTTTAGCCTTGCCAAAGAGAGGCATGTGTATGAACCTCGGAGTTCAAGCGAGGTGGCCCAAAGATGGGACGCTTTCCTCTCCTCCGAGGTGAGAAAATAATGGGACACGTGAATTTAATCATAGAATTTTATTGAACCATAGAAATGTAACAAGAGTTGGGAAAGATCGTCCAGCGATGTAGTACATTCATTGGTAATATATTCTGAGGTGCTCGATGTTCCATGGACGGGGTTGGGCCTTGCCATCCATGTCTTCAATCCAGTAAGTCCCAGGCCGAATTTCTTCTCTGATTTTATATGGCCCTTCCCAGTTCAGACCTAGGGAACTCGAACCAGGTTCCTTTGAGGAGAGGAAGACTCTCCTAAGGACCAAATCGTTGACTTGGAATGACCTCTTCTTTACCTTTGAGCTGAAGTACTTCGTCATTTTTCTTTGGTATGTGGCGAGATTCAACTGGGAGTCATCTCTTCTCTCTTCAATGAAGTTAAGGTCACACCTCCGAAGCTTATCATTTGTTATTTCACTAAAATGCAGACGTCTTGGAGACGGAAGTCCGACCTCAACGGGGCTCATTGCCTCAGTACCATATGCCATGAGGAAAGGTGTTTCCCCGGTTGGCGTCCTCGTGGTGGTTCGGATTGCCCAAAGAACTTGTGGTAGCTCGTCCACCCAAGCCCCTTTTGACACAGTCGAGCTTCCTTTTCAGGACGTGTTTGATTGTTTTGTTGACAGCCTCCACTTGGCCATTTGCTTATGGGTGGTGAGGCGTGGAGAAATGCTTCTTGATGCTGAGTTCTTTGCATAGTGCTCTGACCTTCTTGTTGTCAAATTGTCTACTATTGTCTGAGACAATTGAGTATGGAATCCCGAACCGGCATATAATATTCTTCCACAAGAACTTGGAAATATTGGCTTCTGTGATTTTTGTCAGTGGCTCAGCCTCAACCCATTTCGTAAAGTAATCAATGGCCACAATTGTAAAGCTTGCACCTCCTCTACCTTTAGGTAGAGGGCCTATGAGGTCCATACCCCATTTCGAGAAAGGCCAAGGGCTAGAGACCGCGGTCAAATCCTGCGACGGTTGCCTTTGTACCGAAGAGAATCGTTGACATTTGTCGCACTTTCGTACAAACTCGAGGGCATCCCTTTTCAGGGTAGGCCAGTAGCACCATTGCCTCAATGTCTTTTGTGCCAAAGATAGACCTTCGGAGTGATTGCCGCACATGTCCTCATGGACTTCTCTTAATATGTAAGTAGCCTCTTCTTCCCCAACACATCGTAAGAGTGGGGAGGAGAAGCTCCTCTTATAGAGAACATCATCAATGAAGAGGAAGTGGGCTGATCTCCTCCTTAGCTTGTAGGCCTCATGCTTGTCAGTGGAAAATACCTGGTCTTTGAGGTATGCTACGATTGGCTGCATCCAGGTAGGAGTTCCAGCGACCCACATTACATTGGGGGCCTCGGTGGATGGCAGGAGGAGGTGCTCTATAGGTACTATTGTGAGTAGTTCTGAATCCTCACTGCTAGCGAGCTTGGAGAGTACATTCGCGTGATAATTTTCCGTGCGAGGGATCTGGGTTAGTTCAAACTTTTCAAAGGATGGGATGAGGTTCATCACCATTTTCAAGTAGGAGGCCATCATTTTGTCCTTGGCTGAGAAGTTACCATTTACTTGGCTAACAACCAGCTGGGAATTACTGCTGATGAGGAGCCTCTTCACTTGCATTTCCTTGGCCAGCCTGAGGCCTGCAAGTTGTGCCTCGTATTCTGCTACATTGTTGGTGGCCTTGAACCCAAAGCTCACCACCGAGTTTAGCTTCTGACTTTCAGGACTGATGAGGACAACTCCAGCACCTAAGTCGGTATCCCCAGCCAACCCATCAACGAATAAGTTCCACGTAAGGGGCTTGGCGGGTTTCATGATTTCATCTACCTCGGGTAAGTTGGTAAATTCTGCCACAAAGTCAGCCAAGGCCTAACCCTTAATGGCTGCCCTAGCCTTGAACACGAGGTCAAATTCAATTAGCTCCACTGCCCACTTCAATAATCTTCCTGAGACATTAGGCTTTTGGAGCACTTGCCTTAGGGAAAAGTTTGTTAGCACGTGGATGGTTTGAGCTTGAAAGTAGGGTCTTAATTTCTTGGAGGCCGTGATCAAGGCTAAAGCGAGCTTCTTCATATCGGGGTAATGGGTTTTCGATGATAGGAGTGCTTTACTTGTATAGTAAACTGGAAGTTGTGTGGTTCCCTCTTCTCGAGTCAGAACCGAACTGATGACCTCATTTTAGATGGCCAGATATAGTTGTAGGATCTCGTTGGGCTTTGGTTTGGAGAGGAAGGGGCCCTGCCCCATGTGCCTATTCAGGCCTTGGAAGGCCTCTTCACATTCTTCGTTCCATTGGAACTTTTTCCCAGCTTTCAGCACTTTGAAAAATGGGAGGCATTTGTCTGTAGCTTTGGAGACGAAGCGGCTAAGTGCGGCCACCCGCCCAGTCAAACTTTGCACTTCCTTTGAATTTCGGGGAGACCTCATCTTGTATAGGGCCTCAATCTTCTCCGAGTTGGCTTCAATTCCGCGTTGGTTGACCATGTATCCCAAGAATTTGCCGGAGGCCACTCCAAAGGTGCACTTGAGAGAGTTGAGCCTCATCCTATATTTTCTCAAGATCTGGAAGGTGCTGTTGAGGTGCGTTATGTGGTCCTCAGTCTCCAGAATTTTTACCAACATGTCATCCACGTATACCTCCATTGTCTTGCCGATGAGGTCCATAAATATTTTGTTGACAAGCCTTTGATAAGTCGCGTCGACATTTTTCAACCCGCAGGGCATCATCCTATAACAATAGAGGCCTCGATCTGTGATGAAAGAGGTGTGCTCCTCATCAACCGGGAACATGGGTATTTGGTTGTGGTCGGAGTATGCGTCCATAAAGCTCAACAACTTGTGTCCAGCCATGGAGTCTACTAGTTGGTCAATCCTTGGGAAAGAGCTGTCTTTCGGACAAGCTCTGTTGAGGTTGGCGAAATCGATGCACACCTTCCACTTGTCGTTGTGTTTCTTTACTAAAATCGGGTTGGAGACCCACCTCGGATAGGTAGCCTCCCTGATAAAGCGATTTTGGATGAGCTTCTGAACCTTTTCCTTTAGAGTCCCGTACCTTTCAGGATTGAGGGCTCTCTTTTTTTGTCTGTGTGGGGCAACCTTAGGATCGACCTTCAGGTAATGGCAACTGACCTTGGGATCTATGTCTACCATGTCTTCATGCTTCTAAGCAAAGACATCAAGGTTCTTGCTTAGGAAATCTTTAATCTTTTCCTTCAAAGTGTTGGATAAGTCCTTGCCTACTCTCAGCATCTTGGATGGGTCTCAGGGGTCTATCGAGATGCTCTCAAATTCCTTAACTGGGGATACTTGAGGTTCGTGTTCAATTATACGGGGATCGATCTCATCAATGACCAAGACCACCGGATTGGGTGGTGCATCTATCATATCGATATCTTCTGGTTCAGTGGGAGCATCACCTGGGACGTCAGCCATGACTATATCGGCTATGATTACATGGACGTCCCGGGGCTCTACCTTTTTGATGGAGCTTAGAAAGCACTCTCTCGACCCTCTTTGGTCACCTCTCACCGTTGTCACCCCATTTTTCGTCGGGAATTTCATGCATAGGTAGTGGATGGAGGTGACTGCTCCCAATTCCTTTAGGACTAGCCTACCTAATACTCCAGGTAAGTCGATCAACTGTCGACAATGAGGAACTCAATGAAGTTCATCGTAGTTTGGGAAGATTCTCCCATCTCCACTGTAAGTGTTATCTTTCCCCTTGGAGTGATGCTATCTCCGACGAATCCGTACAGAGGAGTTGTGGTGGGTGTCAACTGATGATCCAATATCATCTTGTCAAAGGCGGATCCGAATAGAATGTTGACAGAGCTATCGTTGTCAACTAACATTCGCTTGAGCCCATTTCGGGCTATGACGGCTCTCACAACAAGTGCATCGCAATGGGGGTAGTGAACCCCTTCGGCGTCTTCCTGGGTGAAGACAATAGGTGGAACTTGGTTCCCCCAAGAGCTGCTGTCCATAATGTAGCTTGCCAAAGAGGGATGTTTAGCTTCCCGGGCGTAATTTCTTTTGGCGTTTTGTGTCTCGCCACTGACATATGGGCCTCCAAATATGGTGTCTATCTCGTGGATAGGGGCCTCATCCTGGGTTTGTCAGTTTCTTCGGTGCCTGCATCCTTCCCTAGGCCTCTCCGTCTCACACTCCCTTCGTCTTGGGAAAATATCCCTTTGACGGGGAGCAGCCTCCTCGTGCCCACGTCGGTTGTCGTGCCTGGACAGGGGCCTATTCGCCTGGGGCAATTCATTCCTGTCCCTAGGGGGTTCCAGCCGGGAGTGGT